TAAATAAAAAACATTTTCGGTTTCGGCCTGACAATTTGTTTTATTTCGGTTTCATTTCTGTTTTAAATTTTCCATTTCGGTGCACCTCTAATTATTATTATTATTATTTCTTTTATCACTGGTAAGGTCACATCATGAACATAGCAGACAGTGATGGGCAATGTTAGAAGGACACGGGGGATATTGAGTTGTAGAAACAGTGGACTTTGTAAGGTTTTGCAGACCCCTGAGAGGTGATCTCACCAATGTGTATAAATAGATCCAAACGCAGTATAAAGATTCGGCAAGGAATTCTTTATTCCAGGAGCAGTACAAACAAAAAGGTGTCACCAGGAGGAAAGAAATGTACCTGAACGGTCTTTCCTGAACCCGTGCTGATTGTCATTAACTATCCCGTTTTCCTGAACAAATTCTACCAGATAATCCTTTATTATGCCCTCTAGCATTTTACAAACTACCGATAATCTTTTTTGTTTGCTTTGTATAGAGCCGGTCAGGTTGTACTGCCGTCTGTGTCACTTCTGTCTCTTTGATCCGGTCGCCATTATCACTGGGATACAAAGTGACGGGAGATCCAAAACTTCATGTTTGTCACCAGCACAGGAACAATGGGGAAATCTTTTTCATGGGGACATCCCTGGTTCTGGTGACAACAGTCTCACTTTCTGTAGATTAACCTCACTTCCTGTGGTGCCTGCGGCAGCATTTCCTGTGTACACTTTATGTCACGGGATGAAAGTGCGTTTCTAGCCACTCATGTAAATAATAAGAATGAAATGCGTCTATTTCTGCTCTGTAGTGTTTCCTCTCAGGATGGATCACTGCGTCGGGTCTCTGTGTTTGGACCACAAGTATTGCAGTGCCGCCCCATCGTTCCCCGAGCACGCCTGTCGCAGTGTGATCGCACACTCCGATCCTCCGTGTGGTTGTACATCTCACCCTCCATGTGTCCCTCACCGTCACATGATCCACGGCCGGTATGTATAATGTCATCTCTCCTCAGACTTCTGTTTTCAACTCAAACCTACTTTGTAGCCTCACCTTTCCTGAGTGCTGATCTCCGGGCACAGAACCATCATTCTCATATATTCCGCAATAGCCACAAGGGAAATACATCAGCGTTGTGTGCACTTTACAACCCCAGATATTATCTTGTAAAGGTACCCGTGACATCACTGTGCTGTACATAACCTGTGCTGAGAGCTGAGGTTTGGGAGAGGCCCAAAAGGCTCCACCCACTATAGGCTGCCTGCAGAAAACTACAGGAGGGGGGCGGAGACACGACCAGTCACCCTGCACAAGGAGAGAGAGAGCAGCAGTGAGCGGTCTTTATTACAGGAGGGGGCGGAGACCAGACCAGTCACCCTGCACAAGGAGAGAGAGAGCAGCAGTGAGCGGTCTTTATTACAGGAGGGGGCGGAGACCAGACCAGTCACCCTGCACAAGGAGAGAGAGAGCAGCAGTGAGCGGTCTTTATTACAGGAGGGGGCGGAGACCAGACCAGTCACCCTGCACAAGGAGAGAGAGAGCAGCAGTGAGCGGTCTTTATTACAGGAGGGGGCGGAGACCAGACCAGTCACCCTGCACAAGGAGAGAGAGAGCAGCAGTGAGCGGTCTTTATTACAGGAGGGGGCGGAGACCAGACCAGTCACCCTGCACAAGGAGAGAGAGAGCAGCAGTGAGCGGTCTTTATTACAGGAGGGGGCGGAGACCAGACCAGTCACCCTGCACAAGGAGAGAGAGAGCAGCAGTGAGCGGTCTTTATTACAGGAGGGGGCGGAGACCAGACCAGTCACCCTGCACAAGGAGAGAGAGAGCAGCAGTGAGCGGTCTTTATTACAGGAGGGGGCGGAGACCAGACCAGTCACCCTGCACAAGGAGAGAGAGAGCAGCAGTGAGCGGTCTTTATTACAGGAGGGGGCGGAGACCAGACCAGTCACCCTGCACAAGGAGAGAGAGAGCAGCAGTGAGCGGTCTTTATTACAGGAGGGGGCGGAGACCAGACCAGTCACCCTGCACAAGGAGAGAGAGAGCAGCAGTGAGCGGTCTTTATTACAGGAGGGGGCGGAGACCAGACCAGTCACCCTGCACAAGGAGAGAGAGAGCAGCAGTGAGCGGTCTTTATTACAGGAGGGGGCGGAGACCAGACCAGTCACCCTGCACAAGGAGAGAGAGAGCAGCAGTGAGCGGTCTTTATTACAGGAGGGGGCGGAGACCAGACCAGTCACCCTGCACAAGGAGAGAGAGAGCAGCAGTGAGCGGTCTTTATTACAGGAAGGGGCGGAGACAAGACCAGTCACCCTGCACAAGGAGAGAAAACATCAAGGGGAGGAGTTACAGATGGAGAGGAGGGCTTAACCACTGACTTATCACAGAAAGTCAAAATTTGCATGAAGGAGCTGTGTCTGTATGAAACAGAAGGTGGATCAGATAATGAAACATGTTTCCATGGAAAGATTCTCCTTGGCACAGAACTCCAGACAAACAGCTGAATACAATGTTGCAGTAGATTTATAGGAATTGGTTGTTCTGTTCAGCCAGTATTGTGACTCAGGCACGCCTGCCAGGCAGCACAGCCAGATTGTTGACCTTCACTGCAGCCCAGACCGATGAAGAACTCTTTATATTTCTTGTTTTGCACAGATGTTCGTGGACCGACCACCTCCCCCGCTACACCAGCGTGACGTGCAACACGCTGAGCTTGTCATCCACTCCTCCGTGTCTCACTTCCATCATCAGGCGTGAGGCCGTGCTGGCCCGCAGAGACCCCGACGGATTCTACTACCTCGGTACAGTGCGGCACCAGGTATGTGAGGACGGAGAGGAGTTCACCCAGGGAGACTAAAATAAACTTTTGCATATTTGGCTTCTATGTACTTATATAAAATATGTATTTTTCATCTATTTATTT